AGTAGAATGCTGCCTTCGGGGATTGTGGAGGCTGGCAGCAATGAGGAAGAGGCCCCCGAGGAGCCTGTGCCAAGTGCTCAGGAGCGCAGGGCTGCTCCAAGGAAAGAGCAGCTGCAAGCAGCACAGGCGACTCGGGAGTAAGGCTGCAAAGGTAACGGCCCCTCCCTTAAGAGATAAAAAGCCAAAGGCAAAGGAGTTTGATCCTCCAGCCTGGTGGAGATTAGAAATATCTGAGTTGGTGTTTGGAGACTCTTTGATTTATTGTTTAGGAGCTTTTATCTGTTGTTCTTGGCAGCCTTGCGAAAACTTGGCAAGGCTCCTTCTTATCAGAGCTCATTAGTTCGAAGCAGCCTTTGATCTGTGAAGGCACGGGATTCGTAAATGAAGCATGAAAACGTCGTGCTGTTACCTTTGTCTCGTGTTTGCTCTCTTGGAACCAGGTTTGGGTCAGAGCAAGCAGGGGGCTGGACTAGAAGACCTCCAAAGTCCCTTGCAGCTCTATTCTGATTGGTTTTATTTCTGATGGGTTTAATGCGTTCCCCCTCGGGCGAGAACTAATTCCTTAGCACAGCCCCGGGAGTCGATCTCCAAGCCTGTGGTTGGGAGAAGCTGCAGAGCATTGACTGTGACAGGCCTGAACCCTGGAAACATTTTTAACCGCTGTGTGTCACGACCATCTACGGGCAGTCCTCGACTTACAACGGCTGTTCGAAGTTACAACGGCGCTAAAAAAGTGACTTGACCTTTTCTCACACTTACAATGGCTGTTTGAAGTTACAACGGCGCTAAAAAAAAGTGACTTGACCTATTCTCACACTTGCGTCCATTGCAGTGTCCCCCTGGTTAGCATGCCTGGCAACTGACTCACATTTATGACGGTGGTAGTGTCCCAGGGTCACGGGATCCCCTTTTGCGACCTTTGCAGAGTCAGTGGAGAAACCAAATTGGTTGAACAGCTGCAAGTAATTCACTTAACGAACGTGGCAAGGAAAGTCGTAAAACAGGACGACGCTCCCTTAACCAGTTTCTCACTTAGCAGCATAAATTTGGGGCTCAGTCGTGGTCGTAAGTTGAGGATTCACCTATATTTTAATATCTTTCTTTACTCGGGTGTGCAAGCCACCCGGAGGCCTTGGATACGAGACAGGCTGCCAATAAATTTTTTTTTAATAAATATAAATTATAAGTTAACTACTGTTATTACTAACCTGTTTCCCCCCAAAATAAGACCCAACTGAAAAATAAGCTCTAGCGTGATTTTTCAGGATGCTCATAATTATAAGCCCTACCCCAAAAATAAGCCCTCGTTAAGATTGTCAGACGAATGGACCCATTTAGTGCCATAGTTCCCCCAAAATAAGACTCAATCGGAAAACAAGCTGTAGCATGATTTTTCAGGATGCTTGTAATATAAGCCCTACCCAAAAATAAGCCCCCATTAAGATTGTCAGCCAGATGGATGCATTTAGTGCCATATTTCCCTGAAAATAAGACCCAACCAGAAAATAAGCCATAATGCGTCTTTTGGGGCAAAAATTAATATAAGACTGGGTCTTATTTTCTTATTTTTGGGGAAACACGGTATATATTTGTAATTTGACCCAGACAATACACTGC